GAGTGTTTGGCTGGCTTTCCAGACCTGGGGCTCGTAAGCGGGCAGAGAGGTTGTAGGAGTTGTTCTGCGCTGGTTTGGGGGTGGAAAGAAACCATTCGTGCCCTGAGAAATGCTGCCCTTCAGGAAAGTTGGATGGAGGAAGACAGAGAAAGAAGGAAAGCCGGTGCAAAGACTCTCATGCTGCGTGGCCTGGTTGAATGGAGGTTTCACAGGTGGAAGCATCCCCAGGGATGTTCCTCCTCCTTTATCACCGCGCACCAGCCTTGCAAATTCAACCTATTACTGAGCTATTGCAGTCGTGGCTCTCAGCGGAGGGAAGGAGGGAAATGTGTTCTGAGATCCTGGGGCAGGTACGGCTGCATGCTGCTATATGCTGATTTGTACTTGGTTTAGTGGAGGAGCAGAATCTGGCAGCAAATATATTGACAATTTTCATAATTCCTCTAAGCTTTTAAAGTGCAGTCAGCCTTGAGATTGCAGAGCCTTTTTTTACTCCTCTGCCATCAAAAGATACCATTTAGTGATGAAACTAACCTTTTACTTGGGATTTGTCTGCTGAATAAATTAGGTCAAGCTTTCTGTATATTAAAGGAAAACTGTTGAAATGATGGAGTTGCTTCACTCAGAAAGACTGAGAGCAGAATCTAGCCCCTCAATTTCTGAAGGGAAGTAAAGCTGTAATGTCCAAATAAGAACAATGCAAACCCTAAGGAATCTGAGATCCCCGGGAAACCTGGGATGATCCCACATCACAGTACAACTGGGTATTTAACCCAATGATTTAAGAGGGCTTCTTACAGGAAAGCCTGAAAGACTGGTGTGAAAGAAAGATAGTGTAACCCCCATGAGCTGCTGCAGCTCATAGTAGAATTTAAAAGCTCCAATATTTAAGTTGTGGAAGTACATCCCTGGGAAGGATGGCACATCCTGCTTCGTCCCAGGGATTTTCACAGAAGTGTTAAGGTTGTATCGTCCCCTACTTCCCTGTATTAACAATTCTCCAGATGGTTCAGGACTAGCACTTCTTAGCAAGAGATAAGCTTCTGGCTGCCCAGACAGAGGCAAAAAGGATGGCAGACATCAATCTTGGGTGCTTGGCTGTGACAGAGACTGTGGATGAGCTCCCAGTGACTCTCTGCATGGGGATCCATGAAAAGGAGCCAGGAGCAGCGGGACCCTGTTGTCTGCACCCTGAACTAGAGTTCAGGGTTCAAACCTGAAGTTTCAAGCATTTGTCCTCCATTATTTTTGTTGTTGGAGAAATCATGGATGTCAAATGAGGAGAGTCTCATTTCCAGTCCCTCAGCCTGTTTTTGTGTTGACCAAAAAACCAGTATGATCACGAGTGTGTTTCTCTAGTGCTTTGTGGGCACACCTGTCTCCTGTATTTGTGCATTTTTGTTTCATGCTCCTAGATGTATCCTGCATTAAGCAATCTGCTGTTGGTTTTTCACTTGGGAAGACCTTTTAACCTGGGCTTGTGGCTGAGGTGGTACTTGAGGAGCATAGAGAGCTTGCAAAGATGAATTCTAATAGCAGTGTCCTAATTCTACTTGAAGTTTGAGTGCAATGTGTGTTCACAGATCAGTACCAGAGCAATGCTGTGTAAGTAATGATCTGCTTTATTTGGAGTTGTACTAACACTGATACATACTTAACAACAGTATGAGCACAGTCATTGTTTGCAGGAGAAGGAAGCTGTGACTTCTAAAACCTTCTTGTTTCAGTGTTACATCTAAAAAACCCAAATAACAAATGCAGCATTCTCATCTATGATTATTCAAGGCCGTAGACCAAAAAGTTGACATTGAGTTTTTTAAACCTTAAGTCCTGTATTTTTAAAACCTTAAATTTGACATTGATTTGTTTAAACCATTGACTTAATGAAATCTGATTTTTGCTATTTGTGTCTTGGGAGCCTATCTTAATGCTGCATGCTCTTCTGGGAGAACATAGGGCTAAGCGGGTGGTGTTCATGTGCTTGCACTGGTTAGGGGTCAGCTCGAGGTGGAAATCAGAGGGCTATTTCCAGACCTTGTAGAGGCCCCAGAGGTGTGAGGACACCGGCATCTCCCAGCAGGTACGGGAAATGGCAGATGACCAGATGAGCTGGAGGAGGGACGTGGACCATGCAGTGCACCTTGCAGCGGCAGGTTCTGAAACGTGTCTGGTCGTGTGGCCCCGCGTTGTCACCAGGTGGCTTTGCCAGCCAGAAGTCACTGTGCCGGCTGTGTGGAACACGCAGGGAGGAGAGCGGGCTGAAGAATTTTCCTGCCAGGAAGCATGGCTGCGTTGAAATCAAACTCTTCTGCAGGAGCTCATCCAGTTTGATGACATCCTCAGTGGGGCTCTGAGAAAGAATGGCGCAGATTTATCCTCCTTCCTGTCCATAACACGAGAGCTGGAGACAGGATTTTTGATTTTATTTTTATGGGGTGTTACAAGGTTGTGAATTGTCGCCCAAGGAACGTTTTCATGAAGACCAATGTACTTAAGACACGCTGTGGACTTTTAGCAGCGCCTGCTCAGGGGGCGGCCGCAGGGCCCATTGTCCAACAAACCTGCTTGTTCTCAGTGCTGGAGGAGGAGAGCTGCAGCCCTCAGTCAACAAGTCCCAGCTCCAGTGAGGAGGGGAAGAGGAGGAGCTTTCCTTTTGAATTGTTTCTAGATAGCTTTAATAATTTCTTGATTTTTATTTACGATTTTTATTTTTTAACTTGAAATAAAGGAAATCACTAAATCCAGCAAGTAAATAAAAGTCAGGGGAGGGAGCTGAGAATTTTGAAGGATGAGTGGGTGCACGTAACAGATGATTACATCCAAGGAAAAGGTCAGTCTTGCTTTTACAAAAGGCAGCCCAGTCTCACTATCATAGGAGAGTGCTTGGAAGAAGTCAGCAAGTATGCAGATGAGAAGCACCCTAGTTAATGTAGTCTGATTGGATTTCCGCAAGGTTTTCAGAATGTTCCCTCATGGCGGGGGCTTTTAAGGAGGCTTGATAGCCCTGAGTTAAGAAGGAAGTTCCTTGTGTGAATAAATACTTGTCTAAAAGGTAAGATGAAGGGGGGAAGTGGAAGGTGAGTTACTGAGGAAGAGAGGTCAACAAAGCTCTTTACAGGGATAGGGGCTGGGATATATGGGGTTTAATAAGTCTCTAACTGGGAAAATTGTGAGTTGTGAAGTGGTGATATTAGCATGTGAAACAAAGTTTGATCAGGGCATGAAGGATAAAGTCTGACTTAAAGAATTGCAAAAAAGATTTTATGAGGCTCAGTGAGTATTAAAACAGAAGAAGAAATTCAACTGTGAAATGCTGGAGTTTAGGGAAGATGGAGAGGAACTAATTTCCTCATTTCATCCTATTTTCCTAGCTAAAGCAGTGGGCTCTGAGCTGACTGTTACTGCTCAGGAATGACATCTTTGGGTGGCGATAGGCAGTCCTGTGGAAAGGTCAGCTCAGTGCTAAGTGCCAATCAAAAGCAGCAAACCGTGTTAGGCATTGTTATGAAAGGAAAGCAGGACAAAACAGAGAACATCATTATAACCTTATATAAATCCACAGCGCATTTACCTCTTGGAAATTGTTTGCGGTTTTGGTTCATCTCAGAATAGCAGGAGGGATGGCCAGGAGTCCTCAGTTGCTTCTGTACAAGGAATGAGCAAGTTGGCAAAGACTCCTCAGCCTGACCAAGAGGGGCTGAGGGATGTGACAGAGATTAAAGAGCCCACCAGTGGCATTGAGAGAGTGGATGGGGACTGCTTGTATGATATCCCTTCCAATACAAGGACCAGAGGGTATCAAATGAAACTAGGTGGTGATGGACTCAAAACAAGGAAAAAGAGGTGTTTGTGCGATGCACAGCTGAGATATGGAAGTTGTTGCTACAGGAGGTCACGGATGCTAAAAGTCTACATGGGCCAAAGGGAAAGCAGGACAACTTAATGATTTAGAAGTCCTTGAAACCATCTTTAGAGGTAATTCTGGATCATAAGCTGCTGGAAGGAAAAACAAACATTGGGAAAATTTTGTTACACGCTGCCTTGTTCTTGCAATTCTCCTAAGGCAGAGTTTGGCCACTGTGGGATAAGACATGTTGGACTACATGGACGTTTATGCTGACCCATCCTCATGCTGCGCTCAGTAGTCACGTCCTGGCGATGTGGGACTGGCCTGAGGGTACCGTGGAAGCAGAGTGCACTCACGGGAGAAGTGGCAGTATTCAAATATAACAATTCGATATCTGGAAATATTTCTATCATTTTATTTTCCCCACAAGTTTTATCTTTGGGTTCCCACATCAGTGAGTTTTGAACTTCTGGAATGTTTGTAGCACATCGTTTCCACCTTCCCAGGTACCTGTGACACCACTCGGTCAAAGTCTGGGAACTGAGCTGTGGACACAAGCAACTGAATTTCCTTGACTGACAAGACCCTTATTACAGGGTTGGGAGCATCCCCTCCCAGCTGGGCACGGGAGGGGACATGAGTCTGAGGTCACTGCTGCACCTGAGACATCTCAGGTACTTACTTGCATTAAGCTCCCTGTGTGGTTGCTGGTAGCTCTGCCTGTCTATTCGGAATGTAGGATGGAGCTGCCCACCATGATAGTAAAAAGAACTTGACTTCAGAGCCTAAAAAAGTACCAGGATGACCCAGGGCAGAACATCTACTGAATAGTGGGGTTGTGAAAGCAGCCAGCCTGGGCAAGGAGCCTCACCTGGTCTGTGGGTGGCAAAGATGATAATGAGAAAATAGAATCACAGAATGGTTTGGGTTGGAAGGGACCTGAAAGATCATCTAGTTCCAGCACCCATACTTTGTGGACAGGGCATCCTGTTCAGTGGGATTTAGCAGAGCCGCTTTAATTTTGGATTTGTTATTTGTTTGTCCTATCTCTGCTGTCAGGTGTTTTGTTTTTTTTTTTTTTTTTTTTTTTTGTATCATTCTTCGCCTGGTAATGCATTTTCATTCACAGGAGGGCTTTTAATTGCCATGAAGGGCTTCAGCCAGTGCTACACATTTATCCTCACTCTCAGGATTTCAGACACTTCTAACGGACTGACAACCATGGGACAGTGATGGCACAGACACAGCAGGGTGTGTGGCTTTTTTCTTGAAGTAAACGAAGCATAAACATTATTTCTGTACTTCCTTTCATAGACTTAGAGGTAATTTGTGTTAAAGTCCTTTTTTTTTTTTTTTTTTCCTATTTCTTCTCTTTCAGATTTTAACAGTAGGAAGATGATGATGGACAAAAATGAAACTTGGTTCTCTAATTTCTCCTCTGCTGCCTCCTCTTATGTGAAAGGAGATGGCACCTGGACAGGGATCGGTGTCCAGGAGGTGGTCATTGGTCTGATACTGAGTCTCATTGACTTGGTCACACTCCTGGGAAATACAATAGTCTTCATCTGCCCAGTGGTGGAAAAAAGGCTGCGTACTGTCACCTATATGTTTATCATGTCTTTAGCCATGGCAGACTTCCTTGTAGCTTGTCTGGTCATGCCCTTTAGGTAAGTAGTGTTTGTAAGGCAAGATCAGATGACAATGTGTGCCTGCAACCTCATTTCTCCTAGCTTGGCAGCTGCAGTGTGCACGGGGCTGGCTGGAAGTTCATGTGCTGTGCTTAGGTCTGGGCTCTCCAAAGACTGTGGGTCCGTGATTGTATGTTCTTCTGTGCCTCGGTTTCCCTACCCTTAATAATGGGTCTCCTTATAATGAATTCAGAGAGACTTCCCAAGGGTATTTTTCCTGCTGGCTGCATGGGGACCATGGCTGCTGGTCTGAACTAGCTAGCCAACTTTCCAGTGGCTCCAGTGCGATGAGGCCCCTCTTCCAGAACTAGCTCTGTGTGGCATGTGGGGCCAACGTGGTTGCCAGATGATTTTGCATGCTCTGAGTGTTTGGGGGATGTGAGATGACAACTGCCACTGCTCTGTCAGCATTGAGTGCAATGACCGTGTTGATCCTGCTTGTGTTTCAAAGGGAGAGTAAACCACAGAGTACATTTTTCCCTCATTTTTCTTAGTCAAGAATGACTATTGAAATTAGTGGAGTTAAATTCTGTGCTTTTGATTATACGCTTCTTTAACCTTGTCTTTTATTTTTCGATAGTGGGAGGGAGAAGTAAAAAAGATCCTTTAGTGTAAGAAAATGGATGATTTCATATTACTGAAATTTCAAAGGCTATTGCAGAGACGTTATTCTTCATATTATTGGTGAAACATAGCGTTTTGATCCTTCTGGTTCAGACAACATACTGGTGGCGCCTGTGGGGAGGGCTAGCAACGTTGCAAAATAAATCTTTTACCTGCCTAAGCAAACTAGAAGAATTGCAGTCTGCAATGGGATAACAAACGGAGTTCACTGCACTTGGGGGGATAGTTTTGCCCTCATCTCCTGACTGCACTGCACATCGATAACTGGCGGTCTTGACATGGGCACAGAGGCCATCTCCCCTCTCTCTGTGTAAATGTAAGGATTTCATTTTAGTATAAGTAGGGTAATTCAGTCCTCCTCTATATTTAATGGAGGAAGAGGCACTTCAGAGGTCAGTTCTCCCTGCCTGAGGTTTATACTTACAGGAGCTTCACTACCTTGCTAAAACATAGTAAAAGAAATCCAGGAACCAGGTTACTTGTAGGTTCTGGCTGTCTCGTGCTGAGAAATGGCTGTAGGTTTGTGTAAAGCAGGAGGCTGCACCCTATTTAGTGTTCCTGGAGCAATATGAAGAAGCTGAACTCTTTTCATGCTTCAGTTCACACCAGGCTGCCTGTGCTTTTGAACTTGGCACTGAAAGGTATTTTCCCAACAAGCAAGTATAAACTGAGTTATAAGTTTATAGTGTTAGGTGAAAAAAAAAAAAAAAAAAATTAATGATGCCCTGTAAAAAATACTACTGCCAACTTCATTTCTAAGCTCGGTGAATTTTTAAGTTTGGGTTCTGAAATCATCCATCTGTATCCACCTGTCTCTCCCCTCCACCTGGTACTACAAATATCTGCCCGGGGGGCTTGGATTGCAGCTTAGTTGTGTGATCTAACCTGCTGCTATCCTATTAAAGTTGGTGGGAATGAGGGTAGTGTCCTAACCAGGAGATTTATATTGCTGATAGAGGGGCTTCTGCTCGATGTCGGAGAAATGTGGGGTTGTGGAAGTGCCTCTTTGCCAGACAGGGGTGGGGAGGCTCTCCAGGTTGGCTGATCTTGTTCCCTGAGGATTGCCAGCAGCTCCGAGCAGGTGTGTGGATAAGGACCTGGCTGATGTGGGGGGGATGCAGAAATGATCCACGTGCTCCTGTCAACAGTAGCACCCACTTATTTTTCCCAGGAGAAGCTCCTCTGATGTTTCCCACTGCATGGACAAGGTTACCCCAATAGAATGTGGCAGACCATTTCAGCCTCCTAGAAAAACAATGTGTCAGTCACCAAAGATTAGCTTAAAGCAACCATCTTTCTGCCACCTGGTATTTCCTTGGCCTATTTTTTTTTCCTTTCCATGTTCTTGTTAAGCCCAGAAATTAGAGGTTTTCATCCCTGTCCAAACCAGGTGTCTCAAGGGCTCCTCTGGGAGTGCACAGCATCGTCTGGTTTTCCACCCACTCCAACCATCCCACAAGGAGCTCACCTTCTCCATTACCCCAAGCTTACCCAGGAATGGCAGCACCCCATTTGCTCAAAGAAGGTAAAAGCTGAACAATTCCTGCTTTGGAGTGAGTTCCAGCTGGTATTCTCTATCACTGACTGCTTCCTCTCTGATTTGCCTGTCTACTTGATGACACCTCTAGTGTCTCCACATTCTGATTGTGCTTGGCAATATCTATCCTTGGTGTTTGTTTTTTTTTTTTTGTTTTGGTTTGTTGTTTTTTTTTTTTTTTGTTTGTTTGTTTGTTTTGTTTTGTTTTTTTTTCTTCTAAATGGAGTTTAAGGCATTTCTAGTTACCCAGCATCCTTGTTACTTCTGCCTCCCACCTACTGACGTGGTCTTTGCAATCTGGGCAATGGGAGGGAGTGATAGCAAAGAACAAATGCAGGTGTAATTTCCTCTGTAAGACTGGTAGCATCCCCCCGTAACTGGAGTAAGACCTCTTCCTTGGCAAGGGGAAAAAGGGAATTTGGCACTAGGTTTCAGTTAGGAATGCAAATGGGAATAAAATTGGACAATTCCTAGGCTCCCAGGAAAGCATGGAAGGAACAGATGAAAGAAGCAGATGAAAATATGTTTAATTGGGAGATCTGCCTGTGGCTTCTTATACCCAAGAAAGGAGAAGGAAGGGCACAGCAGGGATGAGGAGGGGACCACAGCTGTGAAGAATACGAGGAGAGGTGAAGGGACCTTTAATGACCGTCTAGTCCAACCCCCCTGCAATGAACAGGAACATCTCTGACTAGATGAGATTGCTCAGAGCCCCGTCCAACCTGACCTCGAATGTTTCCAGGGATGGGGCATCTACCACCTCTCCGGGCAACCATGCCTATTGTAAAAATGTCTTCCTTATAATTAGTCTGAACGTACCCTCTTTTTCTTTAAACCATTACCCCTTGTCTTATCAAAGGGTCGTAGAGGACATTACAAGGGGGGAAGGATTTCCATGGAAACCAGTGGCTTCACTTTGCAGCCCAAAAGAAAATAGCCGACGTAGGAGAGTGATGTCTTAGTCAACAAAAAAAATAATTACAAGGGGAAGCAAAGGGCAGAGCTTTGATTGATGTTTTGTGCCCCTCCTGAATGTCCTGGTGTTGCCAGGTGTGAAGACTCACTGGGTCTTGGTGGTCCATGTGGGGAGGAATGGACCCTGCCAGCTCCATCAGGTGTTGTTCAGCCCTGCTGATGGAGTGGCTGTTGTTCCAAGTCTTTCCCACCATCTCGGCTTGGTGTCTAGTTGCTCCTTTGAATTGCAGCTTGCTCTTTGGGTGACATGTTAGCACATAACAAAGAGAAGGAGAAGAAACGATCTATGGAGACAGTTTGGATCAGGAAAATGTGAGAAAGGAAAAATAAGGTGGTTGCCTGGTACCTTAATTTTGTAAGAATAAGAAAGACTTCTGTTTTGTTCCTGGTTTGGCTTGTTTGCAGGAGCAGTTCAGCTGTGCTTATCTTGTCATCTGGCTACTCCAGCCAGCCTAGTCATTTCCAGGCTGAATATTTCCAGCTACTCTTTTATTTTACAAGCATAGGTGAAACAAAGTGGTGACTTCACTTCTGCTCATACTGTGTTTCTTTGGGCTTTTATTATTCCTTTTTAACCAACATCATTTCCAAGCTGCAGAGATATTTTACGTCAGAGAAGAGGGAAGAGGTATCCACTACCCTGTGCTGTGAGAACATCTGCTAGGCGAGGTGCATCCTGCCAGACGCGAGCTGATGAGAGCTAGGTACCTGCTCAGCTGGGATCTGTGTGCAGGGGTGTTCATGACAGCAGCATGATGTATTTCTGGAAGGCCAGGGTGCTCACACCACAGGCTTTGCAGCATCTCTGGGGATAAGCAGGGTTTCTGAGGAGTGGCAACAGGGCATCTAAGTCCATTACTGGACCTACGCTTCAACTTCCATATGTCTCCTTTCCCCACCTAAAAAAAGAGCCATGAAACCTTTTCATGTGTGCACAGTGGGACCCTGCATGCTGCCCGTGCAGAGGCCACCATGGTGTAGGGACAGGTTGTGCTGTAGGTGGACGTTTGCTTAAATTTTTCCTTAGCATCCTGCATAACAAAAAGCTGCTGATGGCTGGGGCCCTTCAGCAGCACTGTACCCACCTACAGCAGTTGTCATGCTCTGGAACAACCTTCACAAGTTGTTTTAATGAATTGTTGCTAATTAGAGGCAGAGCGGGCCTTGGTTTCTAACTCCTCTGACATCAAGCTGACTCCTTCTGCCCTTGCCTGATGGCAGAGCCCACCTGAGAACAGCCCGGCTTTCAGTGTGTTTGACCAGCAACCTGTGAGGTTCCAGGATAATTAAAGCTTTGCAGGACTAGGTAGTTACTCAGCCTTTCACATCAGATTCACACACAGTGGTTGTTTCAGCAGCACCCCAGGAGTTGCAGAAAGCTGGTGAAATGGGAGGCAAATGGCATCTAATTGAATGCTATAGAAACAAGCATCAGCCTTCCTACAGCTGCCTTATGCTTACTTCTTACAGGCCCCTCTTGACTTTGTTATAAATAATTTTGGCATAATGTCTGCTTTTTGCTGATGTATTTACATCACTGAGGCATTTGTGAGCTACATAACCTATAAACGTCACAGGCTTCGGACTAGGATTTTTTTTTTTTTTTTAACCAAGAGTTGAAAACCTCTAGCTTTGAAGCATGAGAACAGATAAAAAGTGAGTTTCTCAGAGGAAGGAGCATCTTCTATGCCCCAGGAATCGGGCAGAAATCGTAAAAGTCTGTGCTGCATAAGCCACTGGAAAAAACTGTGATAAACAAAGCTGTGCAGATGGAAATTTGAGGGGGGGAACATTGCGGTTGCAAAGCACCTCTTCTCAAGGCACCTGTTTATAACAGAGTGCAGGTAAGAAGCATAGGTTTGGTCTTCTTCATCCACACCCCACCTGTGGGTTATCGCCTTGGGTTGCACTTTGAGGATGAATCCCTGCTGTCTACCTGAGCTGCATGCCCATCTTTAGTACCTCTGTGCCAAAATATGACATTACCTCAGTGGAGTCTTGAAGAAATGAATTAAATCAGTCCTCCTAGCTTTGATTTCTACCCGTTTTCTCTCGCAGCATCATTTACGAGGTGACCGGGATGTGGTTGTTCGGGAAGCTGTTCTGCAAAGTCTGGATCTCCTTTGACGTCATGTTCTGCACTGCATCCATTGTCACGTTGTGCTTCATTAGCCTGGACAGATACTGCTCCGTGGTGACCCCATACCACTATTCAAGACGGATGTCCCGTGGCCGGTGAGTGGAGGCACTCTTCATTTTGGGACCCTCCAGATTTTTACTATATTGACTTGGGACCAAATGAGCTCTTGCCACGAAGCAGAGCTACGTGGCAAAAGGACCTTCACATGACATAAAACTTTGCAGAAAATTTTTAGTGTGGTGCAGGAGGAAAGGAAAATGAAGCTGAGCTGAGCTGATGGTGCTTTCTCATTTCCTGAGAAAGCACTTTTTGACCTAAGGCTGGGTCACAAAATGGGGTAGAAACCAGTGATGTGGGATGGTTTGTCCCTACGACTTCTGCCCTTTGCAGGCATTTCATGGGAATTTCCCCAAGGACAAGGGGAAATGTCACCCAGAAGAATGCATGTAGCAGTAGTCTCCCCCCTCTTAAACTCACACTGATTTCTGAAGTGATATTCATGGGGGAAATGCAGAGAAACTGGGATCAGTTTCTAAGCTCCTGCCAAGGTTTATGTGAAATGTTGAAATGAGGATGGCGGGCTGGGGAAAGCTGTCTGAGGGTGGGCGGAGAGGATGCTGCAGTTGCAGGGTGCTTTGCAAAGTGGGTTCAGGCTCTTAGGGATGTTTTTCCCACTGCAAGTCTTGCTGTGTACAATTTGTGGAGCGCGGGCAGTTGCCAGAATGAGGATGGGGTTGCGCAGCGGAGCAAGCACTGCAGTGGTACTGAGGATGCAGTGTCCATCCACCCCACCCCTGTTGCTCCTCGGAGGGTAAGATAACGGCCAGATATTAAAGCTGAAACCAAATACAAAAGTGTATGTTGTTGTTTTAAATATTAACAAAAATCCTCTGTAAAACCTTTCCTCTTTTTTCAGCCAGCTCTGAGCATCCCTTACACCGACCCCAGTTCTATGAACCACAGACCCGATAACCCAGTCATTAGAGATACTCATGTATGGACTTGTACCCCAGCTTTTTCCCTGCTTGGCCACTTTTCCAAGCCCTGTGGGACTGCTGAGCAGTGATATCCCACACAGGTTACCATGGGGATTAAATCGTACTGGATGTTCTCAACTCAAAATAACTCAGACCCTCTCTCCCCTCCCCATCTTTTCACAGATGCATTGTGATGACCTGCATGGTCTGGGTATACTCCTCCCTCATTTCCTTCCTTCCCGTGATGCAAGGTTGGAATGAGATTCCTGGGGTGGACTTTGATGCAGGCAGAGAATGCATCTTTGTCACCAACTGGATTTTTGCCATCGTGGCTTCTGCTCTGGCATTTTTTGTCCCCTTCATGGTCATGTGCAGCATGTATTTCTTCATCTACCGAGCTTCACGGCTCAAGGCCACTCGTATCATGTCTCAGACCTTGGAGATTCACTACCACCCCAACAGCAAGCGGCAGAACCATTTGCAGCTGGAGAACAAGGCCACGCGGACCATCAGCATTATCATTTCAGTCTTCGTGCTGTGCTGGCTGCCGTACTTTGTCCTGAACGTCTGGCTCGCTGCCCGAGGCACCCACTCTACCAGCACGGTCTTGGTTGACACCTTCAAGATCATCACTTGGTTAGGGTATTGCAACTCCACCATCAACCCAATGCTCTACGCTTTCCTGAACCGGGACTTCCAACGGGCCCTGAAGAAGCTTCTCATTTGCAGGCACAGGTCTCAGGTGGACATTGGAGAAGACATGGTTTCCATAGCCACGTTTTCTAAGACTGCTCCAGACCTAGAATATAGTGTTACAGTGGCAGTGCCCAACGGTGCACTGAAGGGCAAACCCAAGTAATAGGGATTCAGAATCAGTTGCTGAAGGTGGTGAAAATACCAGAGCACATCCTAATGGAAAAATAATGGGTAGGAAAATATAAGAAGGAGAGTCTGGACTACTACAGCTGGGGCCATATGACAAAGATGCATTTCTTCATCCTCCAGTTTTACAAAGGAGGAACTTTGATATTTTAGGGGCAATTTGTTATAACTGATAGAGCTAATTCCCTCCTGGGTAATTATTTTTTTAATGAGCATTTCCTAAGACAAATTCAACCTTTATGCTGGGGAAAAAAAATCAGTATGAAAATGTGAACTTGTCTTTGTGTACATCCTGGTGATCTACAATGTAAGGTGGGACAGTATGTATTTCTTATCAAGCCACTGTAGCTCTCATCTTGCAGCTTACATTACAAATTTTACTAGTTTTGGTAACTCCACGTGTGTCAGTCTGTATGGGAGTTAGGAGGGATGTGGTCAAAGAGCAGAGGTCGCTTTGTTACAAAGGCACCCCTCTGCAGTCTGGGCTGTTGCTCAGGGTTCAAGTCACTTGCTTCTGAAGTATTAAGAGGATCAGAGATTTCAGTGGCTTTCTGTCAATTATCTGCAAGTTTCCTTATTAATTCTGGAAGGGAATATCCTATGTGGCAGGCCCAGGAGATGAGCAAGACTTACTGTAACACCAAGAGCACCGAGTGCCCAGGGGGTTCAAAGCAGGCTAGAGGCGACTGACACCAGCCAGAGAGAGGAGGTGTAGAGGGATTCTTTTTGCACTGTGATATCTATGACTTGATGCTATGAGTGTAGCTATAGAGTATTGCTGGAGCACACAGTCATAAAAAAAAAAAAGTAAGTGGGAAAGATTATTTTTACCACTCCCAAGTGCTTGTCTGGACATCAAACAGCAGTGGCTCTCCAGAGAAGGGCCACGGAGTACCTCACTGAAGGATTACCCTGAAAAGACAAGCCTGCTCCTGAATGTCTCTGCAGTAAATAAAAGCAGGAGCTGAGCCCCCGGGACTACAGCTCTTCAAGCCAACAGCCACTGCTTCCCCCAGCATGGTTCTGGTGGGGTCTCACGCTGGTTTATATGGAAGAGTCCCTGCACTCAGAGCCTGCTCTTAGACCGATCTTCTGTGGACACGAACCACTTCAAGGCTTTTTCGGCGTGCTCAATCACCTACGTGGGACAGGCAAGGCTTCTGCAGCCTGGGAAGCAAACACAGCAGAAAGATATCCAGGCCAACATTTAATGCTAAAACTACTGGACTGAGACACTCAGTGGGGTAAGAATTTCACTCTGTCAATAAGAAAAGCGGGGTAGGGTGGTAGTAAAAGTCCTGAGTCTTCCTGCTCTTCCAGCTCAAAGATAACAGAGGACTGTTTTCACAGGGTGTAAGCAAGAAGCTACTGCCTGGAGCTGCTCAGCTACTGAAGACACTGGTACAAGGGTCAGAAGTTCTCTCTCTCAAGCATCTGGTAGAAGAAATAGCCCTGACCTGAGCTTGTAACCCTGGTGCTCCTGTCAAATGACTCTTTAGGGAGTGGGTTAGGTCTCCTAGCTCCTACAACTCCACTAACATGGAAGCAGGACAGAGAATAACTGTACAATCCTGCTCTCATTCTGAGAGAAGCATCTAGGTCTGGTGGGCACAAAGGTAGATGGGTCAGGATTCTTGTTCCTGGCATCCAGTTCATTTTGATAAAACAGGACAAGGAACTGTATTTCAGCCCCAGGAGCTATGGCAGGGAGGGAACGGAGGGATAGACAACATCCTCTGCAAGAACAGGCCAGGACTGCAGTGTGGCATAGTGGAGCTGGAGACCAGAGCTGCCTTTTGCAGGGCTGTAAGCTGACAGCTGTCCTCACCTCCATGTTCAGGTGTCCCTCTGCAAAAAAAGTTGGAAATTACACACCGATTTCCACAGTTACAGGAAGACCTGAGACAGTCTGATAGTTGGTTTCTAGATGTTGATAAAGAAGGCAAATAAACTTGTCTATGAGCCATCAGATGTGCGTGCCACCAGGCCTGTCGTGTCAAGACTGGGATCTCAGACAAGGTGGAAAGCTGCTGTCAGCTGTAGAGAGCTAAGAAAAGCGTGCCTTCATTGCTTTCCCTTCCAGGATGTGAGCAGAGAGCAACCGCAGGTTAGACCAAAGGCCTTTGGTCTTTCGGCCAGTGTCAACCAGGAGAACATCATCCAACAGGGCAGGGATGGAACAGGCAAGTGCAGTATAATTAAAACCTGACTTACACGAGGAAAGCAGCGTGGTTGGTGCCCCCCTCTGGGTAGCCTGGTTCTGAAGAGCTGGTTAAACAGTCCTGTAGCTGAGGGGGATGTTGAAGCCCAGGTGGATAATTCTTAGCACAGAGAAGTGTCCCTTTCCCCCACTAGTGGGGAAGAACAAGTGGAGCTGCCAGAGGCAGGGAAGTGAGTGCTTGCAAGCAAGACCTGAGTTCAGAGGAAAACCTCTCTGGTTAGGGAAAAGACTTTCTTAGTCAAACCCTTGAGCAGAAAGGAGACAAGAGGGGGACAACACACTCCAGCACCCAGTGCTAAGAGAAGCAGAGAGTCACTGACACAGGCAGATCAGAGCTGAGCGTGGCCAGGTGCTTTTGTGGCTGAGCATGCACCACACAGGGCTGGATTTGTAGGTGCCTTTGAGGGCAAGCGTAACACCCCAGCACATGCAGACACACCTAGTGTGAACACGTATGCCGTTTTTGGTACTGAAATGCTGCAGGGCCCTTGGAAGAAACAGCTACTTACATCTAGCACAGATACACAGCAAATTAAAAAATACCTTGTTCTTAATTTCCTGTGTTCCACCTGTACCTACTGAACTGGCAGGGAAGTTAAAGAGGCTTCAAATGTGGGCATTTAATTGGGAATTTATAGCTGATGTTAACAGGGAAAGCCAAGGGAAGAAGACGCACTTAACTATCTTCTGTTTTAACTCAGCTAAACTCAAGAAAGCTCTGTTTCTGACCAAATATTTACTGCAGCACTCTGGCTTCAACTGGACAAGCCAGTATCTAGGACAGTTATCCAAGAGCACAAAACCAACAGTCTTTGTAACCCACTTTTGCTTTACCATAAGGCTGCAGACTGTCAGCTGGGTTAATTGGTAGCCATAGTGTCACACCCCAGAAGGATTTGAATCCAGCATCTTTTTAAGAAATTGATTTCGGAGCCTACAACTTCCAACATTTAAGCCTGCATAAATGCATTTTCCTCTTCTACAAAAATAGTTCTACTAGTGTAAGAATTATCTCTTCAAGATTTTTCTCTCTGCTAACAGTTGAGAGATTGCCTCCATAATCCACTCCGTTTAGAAGAGCTCAGTTCCCTCCATTCTTCAGATCCCATCACCCTTCCAAGCAGCACATGCATCTTTGTATCATCACATGCACTGTGGCAAATGAGAGACAGGAAAGCAAAGCACGTTACAGAAATGTAGTGCCCATCCTCCTGTTCCAATTGCACAAGGCTGCCATCTGCAGCATGCACTGATGCAGGCTTTGAACAGAAGCAACTACTATTTTTTTTTTTTTTTTTTATAAATAAAAAAGTTTATTAAATCATTTAGACTTGAAAGAAGTCACAATAATTAATGCACTCAACAATTATAGCAAGTGCATTCTGTACACCACCAACCCAAATGGATTGATTCTGTATTTTATAAATAAAAATTAACATATTTACAATGAGAAATAAAAGCATGGCATTAGGCAGTTAAATTAGCAGATTACACAAATGCCTACCAGTTGATTTTTTAAAAGTACAAATCTACAAGATTACATACGACATGTATGACTTCATTAGGTTTAAGTTTTCAGAATCACAACATTTTTGTACATAATTTTTACTATGGCTCTTCCAACCACTGCCTATAAACCCCCATTTTTAAATGGCAAAAAGCTCTTTTTCCTTCTCTACAGGTTTATCTGTATAAAATGCATTCCCTAAGATCTACTATAGTGCAGAAGTATGAAACAATTTCCTCAAATGACTGTCTATGAAGAGTGACAGTATGTACAACTGTGTACTTTTTTGCTTTAAAAATAGTGCAGATTCCCAGTTTACCCACCAGGGACAAAAATGGAGTCATAGTTCATTTCAAAATCATTTCACCAAAGAGCAAATGATCCGGATAGATACTCACTAGGCTTAGAGACTGTAATTTGCTCTATAAAAATACAGTATTTTAATTCTATTTACATGTTACAGATCTCTCACTTACCCAGCAAGCTGACGTTTACAAGCTTCAAAAAAACCCAACAAACCCCAAAAAAATGATAATGGAGCACAACATTGGTAAGCACAGTAGCTGGACCCATCCACCTAGGAGAGTTAAGGTAAGAAAAATGGAATGTGAAAAGTGTGGTTACTGGCTTTCGTTGGCTGTCAAAGTAATTGAAAATCCATCCAACACGTCTTATACATTAAACATGGCAAAAAAAGTTTAAGTAAACTATTTCCAAGATAGACATTCTGCATCAAAGGATCCTTCTGCTGAACAATCCCTGTAAAACCTGCCGAGTGGAAGAAGTGATCCTGAGGATAGTTATTTGCTTGGTTGTCTGGAATGCTTATTTCCTGATAAACTCATTGTCCGTGACCTCTGCCTAAGCACTGGTTTTGGTGGGAGTTCCAAGTCTTCAAATACAGGATTTTCTATGATTGCTGCAGCCTCTGGTCTTTCAGTGGGACTTGGAGAGAGCATGTCCTTCACCATGGTGTACTAAAAGAAAACATGACATGTGCTATATGAAGCAATTAATAAATTCTTTATTATTTAATCTTCTGACTTCAATTGTGGCTGTATGAACAAGTAGAAAATGTCCTCACTTGCTTTTTGAGTAATTTGTGCTTTGGAACAGTAGCTAGAAGTACAATAAACATCTGAAAATGTACCACACTGCATATGTTAAACCATCTCTACTGTCAAGGACTACATTCAATTTGGCAAATCAAATCCGACCCAAGGTTCAATAGAGTTATAAAACATTTGCACTATTTGCAATCCCCCCAAAATTATAACATATGGAATATAATTTATGAGTAATTTTTAGCTTCATGTTTAAGCCATGGGGTAATTTTTCATGGTGAATTAGAGGTTTTCTTTTAAATATACAGGTAGTTTGAATATTTGCCTCAAATTTAATCAAAATTAGCATCCTGCTGCAGCTGAGCACAGCACATCACATTCCCCTGCGCAGCCTGCAGCTGTTAAGCAAGAAAAGCTAATCTTATTTAGCTGCTGGTCTTAAGCTACCATGAACACCTGAAAGCATCTCAGCTTTTTACTGAAGAGGTTTTGTACATCACCTCCTCTTTATTTACAACCGTATCACTTTAAAGACCTGACTAATAAGAACACAGCACAACTTGCTCCTATAGGTTCCCACCTGAGAGATCTGGTTCCTGGACTGAGATCCCATACAGCCATGGTGCTACCTACAGCCTCCCCTTCACCTGTCCAGAACTCTGCACTTCCTCTTTTTTAATATGGATTTGTTGCAAGAAATCATGTCAGGATGTACATGAAATGAATGACAGTAAGTGACAAAGGGAAGTCAGGTAATACCGTGTAGTTACTGGAGGTAAACTGCATGACAAAAGTATCATCACCCACATCACTGTAATGGTATAGCTTTGAAATGTAGAAAAGTACAGGGATAGAGAAATGCATCTTAGTAACATGAAAGCTATATTATTTCCCCCATTTTTACCTGCAAAGCAATTGGAAAACAAATAAAAAAAGCTGTATTAAATAAAAAGCTACAATTAGTAGCAACAGATATACTTACCTCTTGTGCATATTTCTGAGTGAACAATGGTGGAAACTTCAAATTTCTAACATCACTTAAGGTCTGCAAAAATATTAAGGCAAAAATGTAACTTTTCCAAAATACCATTCTTCAGTAGTATTACTCTATTATTCTTCAAAAAATACGCAAACAAATCAGCCTGATGAAAGAAAAACTTGGTTTAAAGTCTTCCTTTAGTGGTTAAAAATCACAACATACTTAAATGTGCAAGTTGCTGCTTCCCCAGGTATACAGCCTGCAACAGGAATCATGTTATGAGAATTCTAATCTCTGCAGTTTTAAATCAACCAGATAACACAAACCTGTGCTTTCTCACCTTGGCTCAACAGAATCAACACATCTGTGCACCACCCATAATCCCCCAAATTATCTACACCAGTATTAAGACACATGAAATGACTGGCTCTGTCCTAACAATGTAAGCACTAGTCTTTAACACTTATGGACTAACAAGCAGATTTATCAGCAGTTTTGAAAGCAGTTCACGTTGCGTATTTCTGTGTCATTACAAGGTAGTTGATCTCCTTCAGCATTTCTTTCATAACAAGCACATTGGCTCCATCTACTGACAGTAATTTTCCCATGTTTAGCCACACAATTATTTGCAGCAGGCTGCCTTATGAATTTAAGTTCTGTAATTGCCAGCAACCATGACCCACTTTAGTGCATTTTTAGCACAGAAGGGCATATTTAGCACTTAATTTCTTTTAGGAAGGATCTTCTTTTACAAAAGTTTGAGCACAAAATGTATAAATTCTAGAGTTGAAACAAAATTCAATTCACTATTAACTCCATTGAAAGTATAAACTGACCAGTTAATAGTGATGAGCTCTAGTCAAACTCCTGATTAAGAGAACTGAGTTTAATGACAATAAAATGCTTCCAAAAATTGTTCTCCTCCTCTACCAGTTGTCTGCATTTAGTGATCTGTTTTCAAACATCTAATTGGGAAATAGAATGCACTGTCACAGACTTACTGCTAACACCTTGAGACAGATGGAGGTCTCACACTCTACCTCTGAGGGCTTTTTCCCAGCCCTTTGTCACAGATTCCTAGAATTGCTGGGCTACCTGGTCAGGCAGAGCATGTTTTGCTTCAGCAAGTAGTGCTAATGCTTGGCTGATGACAATTAAAACTTCAGCATAACAACTTGGAAACAACTACTAAACTAGCTAAAGTCCAGAACTTGACAATAAAGGGGTGGGGGTTTCTTTTTATTTTATCAAAGAGTGGAATGCCTGTGATTTTCACTGCAAGTTAGGGCTCTCTTTTTACCCTCTTATGAAGTAGAACATCAGAGTTAGATGCAATTTAGGATTCTAAGAATAGGATGTAGTGGAATGTGTCCCTGCCCATGTCAGGGGTATTGGAACTACATGATATTTAAGGTCCCTTCCAATCCAAACCATTCCATGATTCACTCCAGTTACTTGCTTTGCTTCGCTTCTATACTTGGGACAGAAACTGAAAGTCCAAAGCTTGTAGTCACTGCTGCAGAAGATGTCGAGAATCCAGGATAGCTCTTTATCAGGTATGTGTCTCCGTAAAACTGATTTTATTTAGGGAATTTGAAATTGGTTTCAGTGCAGGGAGTTCAAATTAAGCACTGTCATTCTTCCTCTAGACTCTTTTGTACCTTAAGAAGCCATAGTATTTTAAGCAAGAAAATGCAACACCAGCACAGGTGAAGCATTTGGTCAGGCTGCATTCATGGTGTGGTTCAAGTTGCTTCTTACATCTCTGCTAAGAACAATCCATCTTCACATGAGAATTCAACCCCCCAAACACATACAAATGATAAACACAAGTTATAGTGAATCTTTCTTTCCTGCATAGGTCACTGGTCACCACGTAGAAGAGGAAAAACGTTTCTGGCTGTAGCCTCCTTTCTCTATAAACTTGTTCCTGAGCAAGATGGATCTCACGTGCACTTTAACAGCAAGGAAGAGTTGTAATGCACCGTCAAACCTCTCAAATTCACATTTGATGTACTGAAGGTCATCAGTTACTGGGAAGACTGTGCCTGAAGCTGTGCAAGACTCACAGCTAAGACTTAGTGAAAAACTGCTGTTTCTTTCCTATAGTAAGTGCTTTGGGTGAAAAAGCACTGCAGATGCAAATGAAGGAAGAAGTGATAAAAATGCACAGCATGGTTCCAATTCCTGAATAAAAAACTGGTAGGCTTAAAGTCACAAGCTGTATTTGTTCCTGGAGTTCTTGGATATCCTAGTTCAGTAGTTTCTCTTACTTGGTTTGACAACGGAGGAGCTTTGAAAAGAAATTAAGGCCTCAATTCAACTGCACACATTAGGAAGACTGCAATTTATTTTCAGTGATTCAGGGGGTCTGTACAAGGCTGATAAGTTGTGCTCCTAATTGCAAGGCTTTTTCAAAACTGAAAAGAACCTCTTGTTGAGTGTTTCACCAAGCAAACAGATATTTTAAAGAAGTGATCAAACTGAGAATAATGCAATACCATACATACCCTGACCCTCTCCATCTGTGTGCTGAAAGGGTAAAGCAGCTCAAAGAGAATCAGTCCCAAAGAAAAGATATCCACTTTGTGTGAATAGGTGTTCCCACAGATCTGAAAATTCAAAATTGGGATTAGGTCAAATCAAGTTACTCACTGTCTGTAATTATGTGCAACATAAACAACACCCTTTCAAGTCAACATATGGAAGTGAGTAGCCCTGTGCAGAGCTGAAAACTACAGGACAGGCACATCGGCAGACTTCATCAAATGAGCATGGGTGAGCATGGTCCAGATCCTCAGCCTCCCTTTGCAGACCCAACTGCGAAGCAAAGTGTTTCAATTTACTTAAACCTCATGCACAGTAGTGTGTCCTTGCTCAATTAGCTGGAATATTATACAGTTATCTTTCTACTACATTAAAAGCAAGATAAATGAGTGTATCTAAGTATGAATCATTAGCCACTTTTTTTCCTATAAATAGAGATATTCATTTTGGAATTCAATTTAGCTCAAAACTCTGCCTTGATGAGAAAGAATTTAAGTAACTTGATTGCAACAATTTACTAGAAAGAGTGCCTGATCTTTGAGCTCCTGAGAATTCGGGTGTCTTCCAGGCACTGTCAGATACAGCTTTAGAGTAGAGAGCACAAACCTGTTCTGGGCTCATGTAGAGTTTGGTCCCTACTTGTCCTGTGTGTCTGGCATACGCCGGCATTGGGGTAAGTACTGATTCCTCCTCCTCATCCTGGTCCATAGCAGTTACCAGCCCAAAATCCCCAACCTTTACTATGTCATCCATTGTGAAAAATATATTGGAAGGCTAAGAAAAACAAACAGGTGAAAAGAAAAAAATATGTAAGTAATAAACAAGTCTCTGTTTCAGTAGATGCAACTTTGTTCTAATTCTGATAAACCATGCTGTCAAGGTTAAAAATGCTCATTAAGCATGTTAGCAGAACCAGCTAAGAATCTCAGCTATTCAGGAAAAATTAATTACTCCTGCATTAAATAGTCTCCCTTCCTGAAACTCAGACTGCTCATTTCTCGTCACCCAGCAGAGGTTTACTAGCACTACATAGGTCTGCTGAGTAACATACACAAAAGTCAACAGCTGTTGGGAACAGCACAGGTAGGTTATCCAACTATCTATCACGTGGCAAATTCACACCAGATGCCCGAGTTCTGACTCCTAGTCTGTTTTATTCTAATCTCTTAGTGCTAAACTCATTTGCTGTATGATTAACCAGCACAAAGTACATCATCTTAATGTTAAATTATAGGTACACTGGAAGCCTGGGCACAAGGTCTGCTTTTCTGTGCAGTTTAACTGTGGGAATAGCTGTTTGCATAACAATTAAGTTTATTTCTGATAGAAGCTTAAGAACTTTGCAATTCACAAGAACAAGCAACAGTGATGATCTGGCTTAACTTTCCTTTAGCTTTTTTGCCACATACCACCATCCTTGGCTTAACCTACTGATAAAAGAGACTGGAACAGAGATGCCCCTGTGCTAATGGTACATATCTCTGATGGTTTTTCAAGAGATTTGCATTCTGGCTGATACAACAGCACACACCAAATGAATGATTATTTCTTTGAAACATGGCTGCTCCACCTCAGTTACAAATAAAGACAGACACACAGTTTTGGGAGAACAGACTGATCCTAAAAGGAGGAAGATTATGTACAGGCAAAGGGCCAAGGCGTGGTAAAGAGGCAGGTGGTGCTTGGCAAGTTCCTCTCAGAGCTCCTGGACCTTCAAGGCTGGGAGAACACGGTCCATGCTTTGTTGATATAAACCCTGAAACAGTAGGAGGCGGACAGATAAAGTGTAATATTTTTCCACAAGATTAAAGGACTACAAAGCTGACCTATTTCAAAGTCCACCCGACTTCCTCAGTTAAAGTCAAACCCACTCTGTGCAAGAGAGAAACAATACAGAAAAAAGGCTTCTTGTTTTTTTTTTTTTTTAAGCAACGGACAGCTCCGAGATTAGCACTATGGAAATAGTTAGATATAAATTGTTAGCTCCACAGTGCCCACATCCTACCTCTAAAACTGCCTTCTGAGCCAGGCCTTACCTCCCACAGTATTTTCCTGTAATGAAAGTCATGCCCTTCGGAGTCACAGCTCATATAGTACACAAAAGCTACTACCCTGTAAACCCAGTGTCAACAGGCTCTATCTGAAGCATTTTATGGCACCCACCCTCTGACTGCACACCCACGTTGTCAAAAATCTTTGTATCAGAATTTTAATGCTCGAGGCACAAATGTCTCCATTAGGGATTTGTATCCCATTGCCTTGATCTCCGTTCCCCTTCTCCAACACACAAGAAGTCAACAAGATCTGTCTTGTTTCATGGATCAAAACTCAGACATTTTTATTTCTTGTACTTCTCTGGCTGAAAACAAAGTATCTCTGAATGGGCTGGCATACCATTTCTAAAAATTGAGGAGAATGGACCCTCTGCTATCACAAACTGACAGCAAAAATAAGTCATCAAGACTGCATTTGGAAAGAGGAAGTTTAAGGCAGATGTACACAATTTTGATTGAAATCAGAAGAATGCAACCACCCTTTAGTTTAGTTATCTTCCCACTTGCACAAAGAAATCTCTCTCCAGACTCTTCAATCAGAATCAGAATTCCCAATTTTTTCACAGATACGAATAAGCTACTCGCATATCTAGAAGACTATTGTTTAATTCAATTAATGCTGCAGAGCATATCTAAGACTGTTCTTGCAGTTCTGTGAAACTCATAATTTCTTTTGAGCTGTCAAGCATGACCAACAGCTTATCCTGGGAATAACAGTAAATTCACTTGACAGACACTTCTGTTTCTGTAGTTCATTTTCTTCAAAAGAATCTGAACTGTGACCTATTCACTTGTCTACCTAAGTTCCTGCCATCTTGTCATTATGGTATCTCTGATTAGTAGGAGCCTAATTAATGCATCTCAATGTGAACTGTTAATCTGAGTATTTAAAACATCATCTTGAATTTTTCCATATGCATGCATACAAATTTATTTTCACATAGGTCAACAAGTTTTTTCTAGTAAAAATGGGAGCAAGAACTGGCCTCTGCTATCTGCTAGCTCTGCCTCTAGCAAAGACAAAACAGCTTTGCAGGTTATTTGCTTGTCAGTGCTGGCATGAGCTTAGGGTTGCATGACCAACCGCTTGGACAAATTAGAAAATCAGGTGAGATATGTTCCTAGGAGCTTCTGAAAACTACAGAAAAAAAAAAAATAGTGGCTGTTGATTTAACCGAATTGTTTGTTCAGGGAGAGCCTTTCCAAGTCATTCATACCAAGTAAACAAAATGAAATTCTTGTTCAAATTGCTGCTAATATTGAACTTTTAAGATGTTCCAACAAAATGCTACACAACTGCTGATTAATACAGCTTGAAGTGAAGATCTATGTAAGCTTCACTGAACAGCAATCTTAGTAAAGACTGCAGAGAGTTACAACTGACAGAACTGTTAACAAAGGTTATTAACATGTCTAGCAACATACTAGTATTGGGATTTAATTACCTGTCTGGTCAGCTTCTCAAGTACTAAATATTTCTCAGATAACTGGTTCAAGGTAATTGCTTAATACTGATGGGGAAAGAAAATAGTTGGCTGAGTTTGTGAGTTTTTCTAACTTTGACATACCCTTTCAGTGTTACTGAATTTGAACCCCTTTTTACTACGGGATCTGAGATGGCAATTTTATCTTTTGTTTTCTACTGATACCAAATGATTACTATCCAGTAAGCTACAACACTTATAATAATTTCAGTATCTCCACTGAGGTAGGTATTAATGCCTCCTCAAACAAGCAAACAGGAACTGCCTCTCCACCATTTGGCAAAAGCAATCAATTTCTCAGAGCTTATGAAAGGACTAACTGCAGTTGGGCTCTTCAATTAACTTCTCATATTTGGTAACATACTGACACTTCCAGTGCTAAAAGTTCCAGCAAGATCAGGCACTAACACAGAATCACAAGCAAAATGAAATAAAAGGTACAAAAAGTTACTCCCGACTTCAGTTACATTAAACACCAGATGTAAAAACCACTTTTCCCAGTCTTAACCATCTGGATGTTATCAAAGAGATTACAAATCCTTCAGAAAGCTGCATTGTTATAGTTAGTATTGACTCAGAATTAACTCCAGGACAGCTTACATTTCAACCCTAGAGAAGTATATACTTAATTTTTACTTTCTCTAACAAGGAATAACACCACTGCTCTTAGGCAGTATTGCTATAGAAAGAAGGAGGAATATACCAGAATTACAATCATAAACATCTTTTCCAACCTAAATGATTCTAAGATCATTAAGGCCAACTGTAAACTTAATACTGCCAATTATCTGCTTCACTTGAAATAGTAGAACAGGATCCAAAGTAGCTTTCTTTGCCACACAGCTCAGCAATGAACAACCCTGTATAAAGAACCTGAATTAAAAATGCCATAAAACAAATGCAACTGATCTGTGCCAGGTACAAGTAGTCTTGCTGTAAGAAAGACTTTAATTGCAGTAACGAATGATTAACGTTTATTTCCTGAAGCACTGCTCCTCCTCCAGATTATTGTACAGACATTAACTCAGCTTTGGTAACACCCATGCTGAGGTCACTGGTAAGAGTCAACTATTTTAGCAGGATTTGTCTCCAGTGCCGTATTACTCCCACATACAAAAAAATTTCACCTGTACCCACGCACTCATGATATGTCAGTTTAACGCAGAACTTAACCGGGCGCTAAACAGCCTGGCACTGCAGTCAAATCTGGAATTGCTGATGCTCACTTTTGTAACACAGCGGAGGGACAGCTACCCTGTGATGCACCCAGTCCATGTGTTTCAGGAATTTTACAGCACCAGAGACTTTTATATGATACTTTGGGCACAGGTAACTCAAGTTAATAGCTCCAAAGATAATCTTCTTTACCAGAAAGATGTTTCCCTACAGGACACAGCCAGTGTGGTAACCAGTTGCAACCAGAATTTGTAAAGTTTGGGCATTCAGTGATGACCATGCCGATAAATAAAACCCCAACACATTTCCTACAGTATCCTATGAATACAAACCTTGAGATCCCTGTGCATTAATCCTTTGCTATGCAGGAAGTCAACCGCTTCAGCTATCTGCAGAAATATCTGCAGACACTCTGTCCTTTCCCTCTCCTCTATCATGCATCTTCTGCTCATCCAGTCTTTAAGGTTCTCTTTCCGGCAGAGTTGCATCTGGATGTAAAGATACACCTTTGGAGAGGTGGGTTTGACCTTTTCTGCAATATTTTTAGAAAGGTCCAGGCTTAAACTTGTTGGCCTTGGTGGAGAAACAGAGAGGGGACTTCCTGAAACAGATTTCTTGTTGTCAGATTCCTTTGTACTTTTTGCCTTATCCTCAGAAAGACTCTTATCATGTGAAACATCAACTTTTTCTTCCTTACTAGAAGGATTTCCACAGCCAGAATCCTCAAATACAATAGAAGAGGAGGTTCCTTCCCTCAAGTGTATGACAGGAACAGCTGAAGAACAAATTTCCAAGGAGTGACCCAGCTCATTATTGTTGATAGTACTGTCTTCTACATCACAGCCTGTAAGGACACTGTCCTGAAGGTTTAATAGTGGATCTTCCGACTGGTGTAAATCCCTGTTGTCCGTGGCAGAAAATTCCAGAGGAGAAAACTGGCTTCCAGATGAATCGGACTGACCACAGGGTATTCCCACGGACCTCACCCTCTCCGATGAAGTGGCAATAACTTCAATGTGCTCCTTTGCAGAAAATGGCTCTGTTCTGATCTTAAAAGATGGGACGTCCATCGGACTGGGAGAACTGAGTGGCCAATCAGTGCTAGAAGAACAAAATGGAGAGATCAATACTACAGAACTTCATTCTACTAGAAATGCTTTTTCGTAAGCCCAGGTTTTAACAACCCCTACCCCTGAGAACTGTGACATACCGTAACAGCAAATGACTACCCAAGTGGGGGAATCACTAATAACCAGCATTTATCATCCATTTTTCTTAGCAAGGATAATGTTTTCTCATTGAGACAAGAGTGTTGATGAAGGAAAATTTAGCAAGCTCTGCAGCCTGGATTCCCAATGTGCAATCAGGCTCATCTTCAACTTGAAAAAATTCAGTCCTTTAAATAGTCATTGCAATGCATGTTCTAAAGTGCCTTGGAAGAATTACAGCTGTGAAATGTTAATTTGATCCCTGAAATATAAAGATCGCTATATTCTAAAAATTGTTAAGATGTTATGAGACCACTAAATGGTCTTGTATTAGGCCTCATTCTTTAACTGCTAACATACATCCACATTTTCCTTTCTCTTAACATCCTCTAACTCCTTCATCTAATTTTCTATTTTTAACCCTCTTCTACCAAGCTTTGTAAATCGTCACTCTGATTATCCTTCACATATTTCTGCTGAAATAAATAAACTGAAGCATTGGACTACTGAATCAGATCCATCTAAAACAAGAAAACAAAGAGGAGGAAAGCAGTGGAAAGTAACAAAGAGGACAGAGATGCCAAAGTATAAAACTTAATGACAGTAGCAATGCTCCAACCTTCCAACCACCCAAAGATGCAATTACAGAAGTTAAATTAAGAGCTACACAATGTTTCCTAAGCTGAAAGAGGGACCTTAACACAACAGAGGACCCAAAAATCGAGAGATGCTATGCACAAGTGTGATATTTTTCTATCCTTTTTAATTGAAAAATTGTCAGGCCAAGTTAATAACTACCTCTTTCCTACATAGTATCTCCATCTTCCTGGACCTTCTACCAGTTCTGTTGGTGTACAATCTCAAATTCAACTGTTAAAAAATCTGAGAGTTACCTTTCATCTTTTAACCACTGTTCATCCATCTTTTCCTGCCATCTTTCAGGTGGAGCTTCCAGCCATGCGTTGAAATACCGAACGATACCTGGATGTTCAAGTTTAGCTAATGCCTTGACTTCCCGCATCACCTTTTCACGAGCCAGCTCCCTATGGATTTGGGGTGAGGAAAACAACAGAGACACGGTCACAAAAAGTAACAGCATAGTACAGAAATTCCTACAAAGGAATTTAATCAAAGCTAGCCCAGTAGCACTGTTATTCACAGCAAAATACATATGTCTTAAAGTCCCCAGAGTAACTCCTTTAGGTTAGAAGTGTGGAGGAGCAGTATGTGCTCATAATAGCTAAGTATTAAGTCATCACTTTTCAAATAATTACAGGCAGTAAAACTGAGAAGAAAAGGTTCATCTTGCTCTCAACTGTTTACAAGGATAGAAAAAAGACCACTGAACAGCAATATTCTACAGGGATGTAGAAGACACTGACACAAAAGAAGACAGACAGTAATACCTTAGTATTTTTTTTTTTAACTGGCATAACATAAGGAGACTGCATAAAGACTATTTCTGTTCCATGGACAGGAAAGCAGGTAGCCTACTATCTTATTGAAGTAAATAATCTCTCTTCATAAAACCGTAACTGGATCAAATGAAGTCAGATGATTTTATTTAATGGGTTTGAATATGCTTGGAAAAGAAGAATTTAGGCTACCTTAAATTTCTGAACAAAACCTTTAATCTTAAATAGTCACGCTTATTTAACACATTCAAAAAAATAGTAATTCTAGATTTCAGAGCTTTACCCCCTCCCTCTACTGGCCTGCCTGTTGCTGTTCTAACTTGAGATTTCCAGAAGCAGTGTCTCCCATCTCCCACTAAAAGGAACTGCTGCAAGCTCTGTGTAGGGTAATTCAGCAGCATGGCTTGACCACCTATGACTGAAAGAAAAGGTAGGGGTTGTGGGACCAGAAAATTAAACAAATGGACAAATGGAATCAGAAAAGCTGGTGAGGAAGAGAAAAAAGAAAGAGAAGGTGAAGTAGGAAAGGTAAGGAGAGGAAGGAGAGAAGCAATTAACAGCACTACAAATAACTGGTCCTGTTATTAAAGGCTCTATTCGTCAAGGAAATCAAAGGAGTTCCCATATAGCTGCAGCATCCTCACAAGGGTCCTGCTATGCAAGTATTTTAGCCAAGCAGGTCACCCTTCTGCTACGGTTACATGTGCCAAATTCTCAATGCCAAAACCAAGTCAGCCCCCCCATTAAAAAGTATGTCATTCATCCTAATGTAGTATCTGGGAAATCAGTTCAGGAACAGATGGTTCAGTGTAGGATGGGATCCCACCATTTATTCATTACTTCTACATCACAACAAACTCATTCATTACCTGTTGGGTAAACGGATCCTTTTGATAGCATAATTGCAGTCATCTACTTTATTTCTGGCTTCAAAAACTACTCCAAAACCTCCACGACCCAGACACTGAATTGGTTCAAAATCTGTCAGGTATCTGGGAGGAAAAAGGTGTGAGAAAGGGACAGAAGAACAGAGGGAAGATTGAGGAGAAAAATGCATTAGTACAGATAGAAAAATAAAAGTCATTTATAACTAAAAGTGAAGTATTTCTGTACAGGCAAAATATGCTGAGTGACTTGAAGCATTTCTCGTCTTTTTTCCCTGCTCACTCACTGAGACAATCAGATGGTTACCTATTTATGAAATGAACAGTTGCTGATTATGCATTTATCCAGTGTCTATCACAATTCAGCAAGATCCATTATGCATGCACATGATAAACTGAACACGTTTTTCAGAATATTAGGTTGCATGCTTTCTGGATCATGGACCATGAGTATGTAGCCTAAGTTTCTATACACAAACTAGAGTGTTGACAACTATTTTCTAAATCATGATTTGCCTTTAAACCCATGCCAAATAACTATTTCTGCCACTAGTCCTTCTAAGCATCCCTTCTGAAACATCGCTGTTCTTAAATCTCACTACCTTTCTTATTCTTCCTCATTTTATATACTCCTGTTCTTACTTTCTGTGAATTACACATGTGCGGGAAACAGTCACCTTTTCTCCAGAGTATCATGACATGCCTCTATACACCCTTCTGTCTTAACCAACTCCTTCATAACAGCAACAAAGGTTTGTTCCAAGTAGAGTCTGCTTATTCTGCAGAGTATATAAACCATCATCTGCTTCCATCTGCAATTGCCCTTCTCTGCTTTATTCCATAAAGACAAAAACAGTGGGAATAAACACTGATTAAGACCTTCAAGAATCAATCCTTCATGTCACGTATCAGCAGGAAAGATGAGCGCAACATTCTTGATCACAGGTATCCTGCAGACTCTCTGGGATTGCTTAGACTAATCGTAACTGCAATCTCCCATCGGTAATGGGGTGACAGGGTTCTTGGCGTCAGCTACTGATTATCCTGGGAAGTTGGAGGACTAGGACTAGGGTAGGTACAAACAAGTGAACACCTACTCTTTCCTCCAGACAGTATTAGTCGTCACACTGACTAAAAATCCTGTACATGTTGACTTGAACTGAGCTCACCTTGACACGTATCCAGAGTTCTTGACGTCACTCCAGCTGCTGTCTTTAACATCTCCACAAGCAGGCTCATATTTACTATCAGTCTGGCACTGTGTTTCAGATTCCTTCCGCAGCTAACAAGGGTTACCAAAACAAGAACAAAAAAACCAACCAAATAAAAAAATTCAGCTCCTTAGGTACTCGCCTAGATTATGGCATTAAATAATTTCAGCATAAATATCTCCAAAGGCAACAGATATGGTTGAAGGAGTCTAATCCACTTCCTGAAGCAGTTAAGCAAATTGTATGTGGCAGCTGACAGACTTCACAGATAGATTAAACAGTAAGTTTAGGCTTTTGATTTTGTTATCTCATTAGTTAACTTATTACTACTACTTATTGCAGACTCAAAACTAAAAGAAAAGACTAGAATAATACATTATGTATTTAGGATTCAGAAAAAAATACTTACTCTGCTGTAAGGATGGGGATGAAAAAGTTTGCGTACGATGAAAGTTGTGGCCACAATGCAAAATATAATGGTGCCAACAATTTCTTTCCACCAGTGAAGGAGAAGAACAGGATCCTTTTTGCGAATATTTTTGTAATTTGAATCATCAAAAAATCTAACGGTGATCTGCGTGCTACGTTTATTTCTCTCCCTCTTATAGTAGGGTAAGTAATAACCATTATCTGTGTATAAAAGACAAAAAGAGGGCATATATTTACTTGTAGGTAACTACAAAACGATTTTGTCTTTGCATTAATAGGTGTTTCCTCAACAGACACGGGGTATTTTTGTTTGCATGTGCCATGTTTTTAAATGTACATAAGCAAATTCAGTTAATCAAGGTCATGGACTCCATGGCGACAAGGTCTCCCAAAGTTTACCACCTCAGATGGCCTAACCACCCATAGCTTTAAACCACAGTATCTTTTGTATGGAAAACTCTGTATAGTCAAGCTGAGTCTATAGCACCATTAGCAAATTCTGAAAAAAATAATTCACAAGCTCTTTCCACTCAGACTACCTATCAGTGGCAATGGCAGTACACACAATACCTCTGCAGTAGCAATTTCTGGCACTCTGAAACGCGTTGTGTGGCACTAATTGTACATAGACCCCAATCTGGAAATCCTAATTTGGGCAATAATTTCCTAGTTCATTAAATGGTAAAAAAATACACATATTTAAGGTCAAACAAATGTCCATCTATTGAATTGCACAGAAAATAAATGGGTAGACCTGGCTATCTGAAACACTTTGAAATTTGTAACTTCCACCTACCATATGGATACTGCAGAACTGAAAGTGCTCCATTACTGTACTCTTCATGAGAATACTTGTCATTGCTGAGACACTTATCGAACTCATCAGACCCCACCAACACGGGAGTCCTGGAAGGAGAATCTAAGCATAGAAAAGACACAATTTTCTGAGCTTAATTGCTATAAAAATTCTGTTCTTGTATTAATTTAATGAGAACTCTAATCTTAAAAAATGTGTCTTGGAACAGGCCATGAGAATGAAAATTAATGCAAGAAAATATTAAGAAGGGTATTTTAAGGTAACAGTTACTTAACACCTCTCCCCCTTGCCAAAATACCAGTTTTGGACAAGTCAATTCACTCATATTCACATCACTGCAGAAAACTTATTTTTGTTGAAAAATTTGATTTAGAAGACCCAATGTTTCACTATTAAAAATATCATCAAATCCACAGTAAAAGAAAATAGACATTAAACTTTTAATCAGAAAAAATTAAACAATTAATAAAGCACAGAAAGATCTCCTGAACTGCTTTACAGCTGGAAACATTAGACTAGTTTGAAACATACTGAAAATCGGAGAAGTCCCGCTTTCCAGAGATAAGACAGTAAATGAAACTCTGAATTGCTACTTACGTATTAAAGGTTTCCATTTGATTTTGGGAAGAGGAATAATGGCGTTATCATTCCTGGATTCCAGAGCCTTTGGGTTGGTTGGGAATTTCTCAGAAATTCTGACTGATGACTGAAGATACAGCTGGCCCCTGTACATACCTAAGTGATAAACCAGAGAGCATATTAGTCTTGAGATTTAGTTCTCTTCACCCTCAGAATAAAATTGCCCAGTTAAAATATGTGGTTAAAACCATTTAAAATATTTCTGTATATTCACAGAATGGTTATTCGGAGAATCTGAGGTACTATTTCTGATTTCTAGGCTGAATGAACTCAAGTAGTACGTTTCTTCTGTTCTAAAAAAGCAAGACATCAGGACATCTCATTTTCACTGTTGGAGAGCTGGTTCTACAGAAAAATGTCAGTGATTTTTAACAGCTATGAAGCAGCTTAGGCTTTGCATAGGTAAGACTTCTTTCAAAATCCTACCCTTGTTAATGCTGGTTCAGATTACTCAACAGCCATTGCCAGGAAGGCTGGAACAATCTAGCTTCTTTCTAGTGTTATTTTTTATCTGTGTAACCACTAACAGGAAAGCTACAAGGTGTAAAGACTTACAGGAAAAGGCTAAGGCAAACAAAGTCTTAGAAAACCAAAGCACATTTACCTCTCAGAGACAGACAGACAGCTGAGAGGAAGAAGGACCTGAGGCCACTCTATTTCAAATTGTCACAAACACCACACCAAATGAATTTTGACAGCTGGATGAAAACTTAGTCACATAAAATCTTAATTGAAATTTCTTCATGGTAAGTTACTGTAATCAGTGTAAAGAAAAAAATGAACGTGACAAATTAGCAGGCTGGAGGGAGATATTGCTTATTGCTTACCAAGCAGCAAGACTGCCTTGTTAGCTATAAAACTATCTCTGAAAGTTTCAAGACTTTCAAACATCTCCAATGTACTGAAACTACAAAGCAGTGGAGACTTCAGAATCAAAATTGAAAAGATTTATGGCTTTGAAATGTTTTAATTTTGAAAAGGAAAAAAAAATGTCAATCTTTTAACTATGACTGTTTAGACTAAACAGTCATAGATATTAATTCTGCCAGAGCCAAAGGTACACTGTACCTTCTGTAATTGTCAGAATTTCTAAGATGGGTATGCAGAACTCTGACTTTGAATGACAACAGGAAAGATGACCAGAGCAGGCTAGGAAGAGATGAGAACACATCTCTACATTTTGGAAATCCTTAAATCAAGTCAAGGTGCCTTTCTGGAATACGAATGTTAATGAAGCCTAAATTTTGGGATTTTATAAAGCCATGTGGATTAAATTTAACAGCCTTCATTACGCAGAATATCATACTGGACATGTTACAGCTCCTCTTAACTGTAATCTGTGAGTACGGAAAGATCTGCTTTAATACAACATCAACACAGAGAAGAGTAATGTTTACTACAGAAAACACTGCAGTCAGTTTCTCACCCAAATAGACGCTGGATTCTGTGGCCCCTCTGGCAGCTTCCACAAGATCTTCTTCATCTTCCAGTACTTCATTGTTCGCAGTGTAACTTGTGTCATCAAACAGACTGATGGGAATTACTTTGCCATCCTTAACTAGCCATGCAGAAGCAATTGGAGTGCAAAACTGAAGAAGAGAGAGGTAACTGGAATATTAATGTTGTATTACCTAGATATAAGAATAATACTAAACAGTTCGCATAAATTCCTTGGTTTAGTTTTTGTAGCAGATGCAGCAGCTCAAAGTCAGAACCTCAGCTAAAAAAATTACAAGTAGATGTGTACTTCTTTACTAAGATAGAACCTGAAACCCAAGATGAAAGACTTCATTTATGATGCTGCAAAACCTCTGCTTTTGTCACATTAATATTCTGTCTTTTCCCTTACCTGGTATTCCCATTCCAGATGTCCTCCTCGTTTGTTAAAAGCCATCACCTTCCAGTCAGCTACTGAGACCTTTATCACTGTATCTTTCATCATAGCTTCCTGCTCATCCACATCTGAAATAATTTTTGTTTCTTCTTTGTTCATATTTGATTTAAAATTGCTTTCAATATATCCTGCTCTAGTTTCAATATCTGGGACATAGCGCAGCTCAAAGTGGCCAACGCTGAAATTCCACCTTAAAGAAAAAGAGAAACACTTTGTAGAAACAAATTATATATTCCAAGGAAGTCCCAAATCCTCCATCCAGAAGATTCTTAAACTGAATTACCTATATTTGGCTCCTATTTTCACAGTAAACTCTCAGATTGTCAGATGAACACAACTGCACCAGGAGGGGGAGTGCTAATGCAAAATACAAACAAACCAAACAAGAATCTTGCCCAAAATCATGGGTGAGTTGAGAAACAGCTAGTGAAGTAGGGCCAATGGCATTAAAGCTTTAGTAGTATATGGAGAGGGCAATTAAAATTTCTGTTTAGTAGGAAAATGTTATGTAGCTGATGAACAAGTATACAACATTCACAAAGCAGCATTCTATACAAAACACATTTCATTAATAAAGCGGATTTAATTTGAAATGTAAGGTTTTTCAAGCAGAGGGAGGGAAGTGCTTTTTTCATTGTTTTAATCCCACACACAACCAATCACAGGATCTCTCTGACAGGTACTTCATGAAACCAAGACCGCTCATGTCCCATAGGTTAGCACCAAAAAAAGACAACTGCATAAGGAACACAGAGTTGTCTTGCATAGCCAAAAGCTCTTTAATTTTTGTTAACCAACAAATTAGGGCAGAAACTGAAAATTATTTTCAGAAACATTAAAAATAATTATTTTATTTTTTCCATGATATAGCCCAATGCTGTAGAGAAGATACAGGTGGGAAAGGATGACAAGTTTTTGTCTTGAACTGCAAGAAGGGAGAAAATATTTCTTGAACTGTATGTTTAGGTACCCGATGTTTCCTAGAAGAAGCCTGGCACCCACCAGGAGCCTAAACTGTCTCCTTAAAGAATTTACACCCCTGGGATAAACATTTTCCATATTTTATATATTCAGTTGATTTAATAAAAATTTTTATTTTTCTGGAATAAAACCCCAGATCTATCCTGTAAACTCCATAGCAGCCATACCACGTCACCAGGAAAGCACCTCTGTTTCTGACTACAAAGACAGGTGGATTCTGGTGCACAAGATGTCATACTATGATTCTGAAAGATGTATGAAGGAAAAAGCATGTTTTTATGACATACCTCTCCCTGCCAATATCAGTCTCCAAGAACCATGGAACCCAAGATTTCTCTTTTCAGACATCTGATCTGCTAATTTATTGGAGTTCTAATTAGATTATCTCTGATAGACTACAGATGCACAGTCTGTCAAATCCTACTGCAAACAGAAGAGGGAGCAGGGGAACAGGGAATGAGTATTTCTCCATTAAATGCTTGGGCAGTTATTATACCTACGTATGGCAAGCAGCCTTTTGAACTTGTATTTTATGAAGTGGGTTTTAGTTTGGTTTTTTTTTTGTTTGTTTGTTTTGTTTGGGGTTTTTTTGGTATTTTTATAGAAATCTTGATGCATTAAAACTTCAACATGAGAGCATTAGGAAAGTCACAGACTGAACCAGTTTCTACAGCTTGTAAAGAACAGACCGCCTATGTTATGAAATGAACAGAGTAGATTTAAGAATGGGACTTCTAAAAAGTAAGACTGAAGACATTTTAAAGTATCAACTTAAAATGAAAGCTAAAGACATCAAGTATAAAAAAAAACAAAACAAAACAAAACAGTAAGTTACCACGAGTAGGTAAACAACTTCAGTGATTCCGTGTGTCATAACAAGACCTAAACTCTTGCCTTTTGTACAAAAATCAACAGTTGGAATGAACATTAGCCACACTTGCCTTGTGCAGTAGAGCAGTGACAAACTCTTGAGGTATGCAAGGACAAGGAAAGTAATTTTCATTTGATTTAGAGGGAATAAATGTGTGCACATATCTTTTCTGTCTAATCATCTATCACACTGAAGTTCAAGACATTTTTCAAAAGCACTGAAGAGCCAAGGGGTTAGATCCTAGCCAATAGTCTGGTGCAATCCTTCAGTTAACAACCAAAACTCCCTTGGGCAACTCCTAGTCTAATGAGAGTAAAAATAAGACCGAATCCTTAAAACATTACCTATTAAGAACTTCTCTCTATTGGATTGTTTCAGAACAATTCTTACACTTACTTTTCATTGCCACTGCGTGGTCCAACAGCACGGACTGTTTTCTGGGTTCGGTGCAATAGGAGCGTCTCTTCCTGTTCTGTTTCATCGTCATCCCACCGGCGACAGCCCATAGCTGAGCAGATGTACTTCACCTAAAGGACAGGGCAAGAGACTCACTGATGCTTTGAAGTTCTAAAGAACTTCAACACTAGCAAATGTAATCAGCAGCCATATTCAAAGCTAACAATCCTTACAACACATTTTTGGCTTGTAGGCAATTTGCAGCGCTGTGATTTTAGATGCTTGACTTGAGGGATGTTGAAAAGCTTGGTTGAAGAGATTAGGGCTTTTCAGAACTAGAATTTTCAAAATATTCTAGTAAATTTACAGTTTGGGCTATTTTGACTACATTTTGACTAAATTTTGCATGTATTTCTACTTCTAACAGAAAGAAATCTTAGCTCTCTCTTTTCCTGCTATTTCTATGGACTTCCAAAGAACATTCCTACAATACCTACAGCATAATTCTTCCTTCATGCCATATTTGTCTCAGCATAACTCTATTAGCTTCAAATGAAGTACCACTAATTTACATAAAATAGTGCAGAACCTTCCGCCTTTGCCTTGTCAGCTATTAAAGGGGAAAGAGGACCTTATTTAACTCTCACAGTCACACAGACTTTCCAACAGTCCCAATCTCAAACAGAATTTGGATTATATGGGCAGCTGTATTTTGAAAAAGGAGTTGAACACACTTTCAGAAGACTGAATCAGTATCATACTGCCAAAGGCAACAGACTGCCCCAACTGTTCATGAAGAAGGGTCAGACACTATTTCCTGTATGAGGCACCTTCACTACTGTGAGCATAAGCCAGGAACCAAAGCAGAAACTGAAATTTCCACTTCCTGGAGACTGCGGGAGGAGCAGTCTGTTGGTGCACAGCGGCCTTTGCTATCAATGAGGAAATCAAAATTATTTCATGAACTCTTCTTTTGAGTCTATGCTCTTTATCACTAGTGATCACTCTACACTGTGCCACAGAAGTGTTCCAATTAAAATGTAAGGTCAGAATGAAAAAACTGATTTTGTGGAAACAAACACTGGAAGTTCGAAATTTTTAAACTGAATCTATTTTTTTAACTTGTTTTAAAATGCACCAACGTTTCAAACTTAACAGATGTCTGCTATTCACTACACAAAGTATCTACAAGCATTTTAATGACATCTAACATTAAGGAGATGGAAGGGGATGTCAATTCTAGGACTCTGAATAATGTAATTAATATATTTTCTTTTTCTACCCTTTTTTTCTTCTGTATTTTTTCAAAATATACAACTTTTAGCCAATGGATTTCAGAAGCAAAATACCTTCTGAACTAGTCAGACAGCAATTAGTTTTCAACTTAACTTCTGCATGGAACTTTAAAATGTAAGGACAACTTCTTCTAAGAGATAGTAAACTTGCTGACAACTACAAGTCTTAAGCTTTTACATACATTTAATGTTTTTCTTGTTTTCAACCAGCTATTCCTCATTAGTTGTGAAAAATCTGAAATCAGTTGTGAAAGAAGTGTGTCACCTAAAGCCCTCTTTGACATGCAGTAAGGTGAACAGCAAAGTCTATTTCAAGCAGAGCTATAGATTAAAGCTGAACTTCTCGCCCAGCTCGGTAGAAAGGGGTCATCCCTCTTTTTTTCCCCTCCTTCACCTATGGTTACAAAACCCCTGTCCCTTCTCCAGCCCCATGCAAAGCTGGCTGCAGCTAACCCAGTACAAAACTAATCCAATAAAAAGTGAACAGTTTTCTGTTGGGTTAGCAAGCTGAATCAGCTTAGCAAAGGGTGAGACAAATGCTAAAACCAGCAGTGGGGACACAGCAGGAGCTCACAGGCACAAGATTACAGTGAGGGACTCAGCCACACCATCCAACTGCACCAGCCCTCACCCTTACTCCAGCCTGCTGCATTTGTTGCCCAGGAAGCTCAAATTCTGCTCTTTTATGCCCCGCAGTTGTATACTTGATCTGTACTGCAGTTGAAATCTCAAGAGCAACCTATTTGCAAGACAGTGCTCAAAATACACATACACAAGGCAACTTTTCAGGCTCTTACCTTCCCTGAGTATGAGCTCAGCCCATAGGTTGTCAAAGACTTTCCCCCAACTAAGACAACGTCCTCGCCAAATTTGTAGGATGACTCAAGAAGAGATTCAACCGTGAAAGGAACTGCTTCCATGCTCTCTCGATCCCGATCCCACTGGAAAAGGTCCCCATCCAAGGAAGGGATTATCATCTTATTTCCAAATACCTAAAATAATTGAATTGAAGGTTAGCTACCATTTAACCAAATTTTTATCAAAACACACAGATCACAAATGGAAACACAAACATTATATAAGCAAGAACAGCACATTATAGTCTAGTGTCCTATTTTATGGTTTCATATCCCAGAGTCTTATTTTTCAAAGTTATACTGAAGACATAAAAATTTTGGGCATTCAAATCAAATTCGTATTTCTCTATTCTTAGTTAGAAAACAGCTCAGTGTGTGACACTTTGTTCACTTTAAGCAAAACATTTTCAAGCTCAGTTGAGAGATTAGTATTCATCCAACCTGTAGAAAATATGGTATAAGGAAGAAGCATTCTCCAAGAGATAGTCACTGGTTGATGTGCAAATTTTGCAGATTATTTGTGATAGTTCCAAGACTATGGCATAGTATGTAAAGTTCTACTTCACTGTTGCTTTTTTTCCAGAGGTAGCTTATTCCTAAACACAGAATCAATCATTCTTTCTACATCAGAAGACTGAATTCGGTTTTAAAATAAAATCTGAGGCTGTATGTGAACTCTTTTACAATTAATGACTACTCCAGAATAGCTACCCTCCTGTAAAGCAGAGAGAGCAATTATCATTGAGATGAGAGCTCACATTTCACCTTTGCCTTTCCAGACAGTTAAATCTAAATTCTCCTCCCCAGAATTTCTTATGTTTAAGTACACTGTTCCTTTAAAACTTGCTTGGCTTTTTCCTTAAACACACAAGTCAAAAAAAAAAAAAAAAATTCTCACCAGGATATGGCATTTCATCCATTACACTGAGATTTTCAAGGAGATCCTAGTTCGGAAGTATGAGTCATTGTCAATGAGTACTAAGGGACTTATTAAGAAACTCATTATCAGCATGATAGACCATAACTAATACTGTGGAGCCACAGTGGCTGTGCCCATCAAGAACAGTGAGAAACTGTAATCCACATAAGATTAGCTTTTGAGGATATGGATTAACATGGAAGATTTTAATGCTTTTTCAGAACCTCTGTCCATTTGGGCAGTGTCCTACAACATAATTACATTAAATTCAGATACTTTACACATTACGATTTAAAGACTACTTCCGGTACATGTGTATTAGTCACTTCAAACAAAATATTCCTGCTTAGACTCCAAGACACAGATGCATATTATGAAGCCATACAAAAGATCCAGGAGATTTCTGGTTATTATTTCTGGAACCACTGTGAGGGTCTAAAACCACAAGATTCTGCATGATTAAAATTCTCTCTAACATGAGACTTTTTATTTCTCTAACTGGGTCACAGACAAGCAAACAGCAGTAAGGAAAGTCGGGATTCACCTGAACAGGGAGGGAAAGACAGATTTTGTAAATGCATGCATGTCATGACTAATACCTCTTCTTACACTGTTTGACACACCTCATTCAAATAAAAAATTTAGGCAAGTTACCTGACAATATTGGTGACTGTATTTAAGATCCCTAAAGGATCCTACACTGATGCTTTCTGGTTTTGAAAGCCTCATGATAACTGACAATTAAAATAAAAACTTCTCTCAGGAGTACAATGTGTAATTGAAGAGATGATAAAAATAAACCCCTGAGAGTAACTGCAAAGTTCTTTACAAAGCAAAATGAGGTATGTTCTTTATCTCCCAGATACTTATCTTTTGGCAAAAAAGGCCAAGCATCCTGGAATAGACATTGCAGGAGATCTGTGACACACAAGAAATATTGCATTATGGCCTACCATCAGGGAGGAAAAAATACACACATGTATCTCTATACATATGCTTACAGAAACAAACCAAGAAAAAAAAAAGCAAAAACTTGTGCTAGGAGGGGTCACTTGTAGAAATCACCTGATCAGTGGAAAAATAAAGCAAATAAATAAGGTTTGCATAAACATTCATATTCAAGAGCAGCCTTGTGATCTTGAAAAAAAAAAAAAAAGGAATGCAGATTTTAGAAAATACCTTTTTAAAAACAAAAGATGCCAGTGCCAAAGTTGCAGCTGTAGCCATGTTGGAGTATCTTGTTAGAATACTCAACATAGAAAAGTAATATCACAAAATGTTTTTTGTAATATATTATTTCAGAAATGCATAATAATTTTGATGACAACTTTTAGCCCATGCATATTTATATTAATAAATATGCAGCTCATATTTATTAATACTCTGCATTAATAAATCCTCTGTAAGGTTTCTTCCCTGCACGTAGTCCAGATACCTGCAAGTAGTTTGGAGGCCCATGCTCACCTGCAGCAATAAGAGATGTTCCATATATAAATAAGAATGAACAAAGGTTCTTTTTATAAGCAGCTTTCCAAATATGCAAAAGCCAAACCAGCTCCTGTACCACTTTTTCAGCACAAAGAGCCCAAGTCTGACAAACCCAGCCATCAGCTGACTTCAAGTTGGATCCTGAAGAAATTCTACTGGCCATCAGCCAGCTAAATTCACACAACGTGGTCAAATTAAGCGTGGGCCAGTGGCAGCCAGACAGCCACTTGCAAGTTCATACTTCCAGATACGCTTGCTGGGAGCCACAACCGCAGTGGTTTTGTAACACGGCGCGCTGCAAGGGCTGCAGCCTATCCCATCAGTTTGTGAAGAGAGGAGGCACGGGTGCAAACTGCCCAGGAATTGATGCTGAGCAAGGGAGGCTCTCGGTGGGCAACTCTGTGAGCTCTGGGGACAGTATGACACACATCACCTTAGGCGTTTCCCTTGTCCTGAAGCTCTTGCTCCAGGGCCTAATCAGGAAATTTTCCACTAGCAAACAACAGGCAAAACGTTGGCTATTTCTGAGAACTACACACTCAAATTCCCAACACATGAAGCTCACTCAGCAATATGTACTTCTGTGCTCCCAAGATATGGGTCAAATCAGGTCATGGCTTGTATGCCTTCAAAAACTCCATGACAGTGGGGCACTGCCTGCTCATCTGTTCAAACCTTGGTCCCCGTAAGCTGAAGAGGACAGACAAGAGTGTTTCGGTGAGCTCTGATGATTGCCTGCCTGTGCTCCCAACCTTGAGGGTACCTACAGGAGCAGCTCGTCCTGCATGACATTGGGAAAGAAAGGCTGAGAAGAGACAACTGCTGTTGTTGAACACATCAGGAAGGGGAGCACAGGCAGCAGAAAGAGCTATTGCACTGAAGGACAATGCCAGAGTATGCACAGATGGGGTTAAACTGACCGTGAGTAAGTGCAAGTTAGACATTTCAGTTACTAACCATCACAAACGTGGTATTTCACAACAGAAGCGGAACGGGGAGGGGGGGGGGGAAATCACCTTCTTTTTAGATGATGATCTATAAATGGCATTGCATGACATGGTGCTGACAAGGGACTGCACCTGATTACCACAAAGGTGGTCTTCTACTAAAATAGCTTCATTTGAAGGATGGGGCAGGTATGCAAATGTACATACTTGCAGGTGCTCTCATCCACATGTAACAAAAGGCATTTGTGGCCACTTGTGCTGACATCTTCTAAAAGAGCCGTTTAGCCACAGGCTTTAGAAAGACATTAACAATAACAACTCCTATCCGAGTTATGCAGCTCATTCTCTAGTACATTAGAAGCAGCAAAGGGACTTTCCTTGAAAGTACTAGCAACTAGCATCGGCATGCAGCTCAGGTAAAGGAATGACATCACCCTGTATCTCAAAAGCATTACCTCATCTCCTAATCCAAGGAGTGAGTCACCCAGGCAGTCAGCTGCAAATCTCTTGGCACAGAAAATGTAGGTTACCACGATGCACTTACACATTCCTCTGATCTGTCAATGTAAATAGCTATTTGTTCAGCTTCACTGGTCAGCAATATGGCACATAATTGTTAAGTGGCTTGTCTTTCAGAAGTAACACTTAAAAAAACCCCTACATTAACTATCGAGCCCTAAATGAGAAGATGCTCTTTTGCTCATTAAGAGTTTGAAGCTGAAGTTCTCCATTGGCTGGGCACAGGGTGCAGCAGCCCTATCAGCGGCGCTGGCTGCTCAATCTCCAGGCCGACGGGTGAGGTAATGCAGTTTCTAAAAAGCCTTCACAAAAAAGCAAAAAGGCATAACGATCCGAAATGGCATACGCTACCAGGGAATTTGCTGTCTAGACTCTTTACTGGAAAGGAGGGCACTGCACGCGAGGCTCCACAGCAGGTTGATCAGTGCAGGAAGAAAGCTGCTGATTTATAGCCGTGCAGAAAAGAAAAAAGAAAAGGAAAAAAAAAATAGTGTAAACAGAGATCAAAACAAGCCGAAGTATTAAAGCTTCCATGAGCTGTTTAACAGCAAATGTGGCGTTCATTTCCCATGCCTAACACTGTTTATCATATGAAGCAAAAATCAAGCCTGCTCACATGCATGCACATCTGAGACAAGTCTGGTGCCACAACAGTCAATATTATTGTATTCAGGTGGGCTGGACTTTCCAATAACTAAACACAGGTTTCTCTAACACTTCAGCTAGTGGTTTTCAAACTTTATTCTTACAATAAACTGTGAGAACTTCATTCCAGTTACTAATTAACTAAGACTAAACTATATGATCTTAAATGATAAACGTACCAATTTTTTTCCTCTATGATTATCTCTACAATAGGATCACTATAACAAACGGGATCAAAGCCAACATCAGGCCTGTTCTTAAGAAAGCTTCTTCTCAGTGAGAACTATGTCTTCTAAGCCCCTTTAAAATTAATCTAGGCAACATATTAAAAGCCACATGCGGCAGTTTCACCCTGAAGAGTAGGAACAAGAGACTGCACAAACAAACCTGGGAAAGAGAAAGCAATCATTGTATGTTTTACATTAAAAAAATAATCATAAGCATACAGTAATACAGCTATCTACACTATAAATGTTTACAGATTTTTCAGGTGAGATATATATACACACACACTGGGCAAGGTCTTGAGAAGTCCTTAGTTCAGGTTGGTTTGGGAGCTCATTTATCATCCGCCCTTTTTCAATATGCATGCAGGGAGGTATCTGCACAGATGCTCT